GAAAAGACGACTATTGTTCCTTTCACCAGGAAGCGGAAACTAGACAAGCTAGTGGAACCGATCCTTGGTGGCACGGCTGTGAGTTTTTCCGCAGAAGTTAATTATTTAGGGGTAACCCTAGATCAAACCCTAAGGTGGAACTGTCACATAGCTAACACGGTCAAGGCCAAGATGGCCTTAGGTATCTGTAGTCGTATGGCAGGACAGCGCTGGGGTCTTAAACCAAAGATGACTCTCTGGTTATACAAGGCAATTGTGAGGCCCATAGTAACATATGCGTCTGTTGTTTGGAGTTTGGAGTGGCAAAGTAAGTCAAACAACCACTATAGTCACATTGGGCAGTCTACAGCGTGTGGCGTACCTGCTAACAACGGTCACCATGTCCACTACACCTAGAGCGGCCCTAAATGCATTGCTGATTCTGACTCCCCTGCATGTATTCATACAGGAGGTCGGTAACAGCATGTATAGGCTCTCCACCAGGTTAAGGACTAGATGGCTCTCCCAGACATTGAGATTGGCCCATGACTCAAATCTGGAACATCCTATTCTGGGAATGACTTCTGATGTCATGCTTCCCAAGCAAAACTTCAAGAAACTCTACCAGGTAGAATTTCCAACCAGGGAAGACTGAGAAACTAACAGTCTCACCTGGAAGGGCGGTAGCCTTCTTTGGTATACCGATGGGTCCAAGATGGAACCAACGTAGGCTGTGTTATACACGGCGTGAGACCCAAACTCAGCTACAAGCTGAACATGAGACGTCACTCCTCTATCTTTCAGGTCGAAATGTACGCCATAATTGCATGTGCGGATCTAAACCTGAAGAGAGGCTATGTTAACAATTATATTTATACAAACTCAGTTAGTCAAGCCGCTCTGCATGCACTAACCCCAATCACCCAAACTTCGAGGATTGTAGAGAACTGCATAACTATACTGAATATTCGCGGGGAAGGGAATAATGTAGTCCTGCGTTGGGTTCCTAGTCACTCTGACATCGAGGGTAATGAAACAGCGGATGAACTGGCAAAGGCTGGTGCTAGGGAAGCCTCCATTAGTCCTGAGCCCTTTATAGGAATAGCACACAGCCTGATAAAGCTCACTTTGCTGAACGAGAGCTCCCACGTCTCCCGAGACGTGTGGCTGCAGACTAAGGGTCTTGAGCATTCTAAAGGCCTGATAGCTGCCTTCAGTGCTAAACACTGTAGAGAAGCTCTGTCACTGGACAGGAATGGCATCAGAATGCTGACTAGAGCCTTAACAGGACATAGTGTCTTGAATAAGCACATGTCAAATATTGGACAGAGAGAAAACAGAAAATGTAGATTCTGCCACGAAGCAGATGAAACTTCTGTGCATCTCCTCAGTGCTGCTCTCTGATGAGCGTGAGAAGTTCCATACTGGGTAGGCACGGGCCACACCCAGAGGACATAAAGACCGTCGGAGCCAGGAACGTCCTTCAGTTCCTTAATACTGTTGGTCTTGGCTCCGAGCTGTGATTAGTGGTGATCACAATAGATCATTTATGGTCGCAGTGATGTCCTCATCACTGCCTCATAGGCCCCAAATGAAGCCACCCTAATAATAATAATAATATACTTACATTCGGCGTTAACTAATTAGAGACAACGTGACAAGATGAGTAAATGTCCACACGTGGCCTTATACTCGTAAATGTCGGGTATAATGATTTCTCAACTCATATTATTCACAGTAGGCACTTGATCACATTTACACTAGATGCTAATTGAAAATGCAAAACATAGCAAAATAAATATTCATACAATTTAATTATTTATAGATTTGCATAAGTAGACTCAATTGGCGTAAAGGACAAAACACAAGTTTTCAGATTGTTCTGCAAAAAACACTTTCGTAAACACTATTTTAAAAATAATAATAACGCACACTCTCAATAGCCCCAGAGTAGGGAAACCCTGTGTCTATGGTGCCTTGGACACATATAGACAACCACAAATTACACCCTAACTCACGAGAGAAATAAATGTAGGCCATACAAATATTTCTCTCGGGTCCTGCGTGGTAGACCAGCATAGTCGTGTTCAATGTGCGATCGGAAACGGACGCGCTGCACTACTTTGCGAGAATTATTTTAATTCGCGATTTTGCGCGGCTTAGGCTGCTGCATGTACGTAAGTGACTATGGGTTCCCAACAACTCATTGTCAATGAGTTTCTGGCATTCGTGCAGAATGCCATCGACACAATGGATGAAGTCAGCATCGAGCAGATCTGCAAATCTAATTTCAACGAAGATGAGATTTGCAGTGGCAAGATGCTGCTGTTCCAGAGCTGCGGCAAAGCGCAGCAGATGCCATCTCGTCGGAGGGATGGAGGGATGTTACTGCATTCTTGAAGAATACCGATCCGGACGACGTGCCTACTTTCGTGGCGAAGGAGCTGCACAAGTTGCCTCCGGTCACCTTTGACCACGTCGACGTCACCAGGCTGTTAAAGGACATCACGTCCTTGAAGTCCAGTTTGGCTGAAGTTCAGTCAAAATTGGAGGCGTCGGATAACTCTATAAGTGGGCTACGTGCCGAAGTTGCGTTGTTACGCAACCCCGCTTCGGTATGTAGGTCACCGACAGTCTCCTACGTCAACACGCGTCGCGGAGCGCGGAAAGCATCCGTCGGCAGTATTGAGTCGGCTCGTATGTCGCCGGTCATTGCTGTTGTCAATGCACCGTGCCCCCCTGCCCGCCCCTCCGCCTCGGAGGTTACGTCACCCGTATGCACGTCATCGCCCGGGCGTGCATACGCCGCTGTTGCCGCGACTATTAGCAGCGGAACCGCGACTTCAAAACCCGAGTTGCGGAAAACTGCAAAGGGCGGTAGTAAACCCCGAATGCCTGTCTCTGGAATCGCAGGTGCCAAATCTCAGAGGCAGACCGACAGGTGCGACGAGGACGGCTTCACAAAGGTGGAGAAGAGAAGAAAGAAACCCACCAGCCGAAATCTATGTGGCACAGCTCCAACGGGACAGAACTTCTTGCTTCGTGCGGCCATACCGACGACGCAGTTGTACCTGTCTCGACTGCATTACTCCACGAAGTCTGAGGATATAGTGGAGTATATCCGGTTGAAAGCCCAATTCACCCTGAGGGTCGAACGTTTGGAGTCTCGCCACAACGTTAACTTTAATTCGTTTGTGGTGAGGGTCCCAACGGTCCATCTGTCGACCTTCATGCAGGTAGAGTTTTGGCCGAAGGGTGTCATGTTCCGGCGGTTCAGAGGAACGATACATGACACTTGTTTGCGTCGCGCGTCGCCGAATAGTAATTCGTGTAAATAGTTAATAAGTTTATATTATTTTATATGTATGTTAGTTTGTAAGGTATGTATCAATAATAATAATATGTATGTTAGTCTGTAAGGTATTTGTTATATGGGCCTTAGTTGCCTGAAATAAATGAATAAATAAATAAAATAAATAAATAGTAACCGTTTCGCCACCGAGGCGGTTACACCTTTTTTGTTTCTAATTATATTTGTTTGTAGCATAGTTTAGTTACAGTTATAAACAAACCTGTATTTTAGAACATGCGTTACAAAGGTCAAATGACTCCATCTCACCTTCTTATCAGTTTGTGAAACGTTTCAACAGGAATATTTGCCCATGCTGCACAGAAGCCTTTATAAACTTCACCGGACAACTCATCGTTCATCATAATAAAGGTTGCCAGTAATCGTTTCACAGAACGATAAACGTTTTTCTTGATTTCATGCCAAAGGTGCTCATTAGGTAGGTTCAGATCAGCGCTGTCAACCAGCCAATCTAGGACCAAATAGGTACCAACTAACATGTAGGAACGCCTAAACTGATCGTGCGGTTTGTTTCGGATCGTGGTAGAAAGCCCATATATGTAGAAAGGTGTTCTTCAGCATAGGGTCACATAGTTTCCTCTAATATCACCTTGTATTGGTATTGATCCAAATTGTCTAGCACTTTTCCGACAGGGTCCTACCTACCTAACCTACTCCAAATCCAGAAAATGAGCCCTAAATTTTAATGTTTCCACAGCCATGTTTCACCTACTTTTTTGTAAACTTCGGATTTGTTTCTGCATTTGCAAGACGGTGCATTTTGACGACAATCTGAAGGCGTCAAATTGACCGTGGTCTTGTTAGAAAAAACACGTTGCTATTGGGTAGGTAAAGTTCGATGTTCACATTTTTGATAACACACACTCAACGCCAAACATGCATTCCAAGGTTTGTATTAATAGAGGTAGGTAAGTACTTACCGAGCTACAACTTCTCCGACGTAACGTCGTCAAACAGATCCCGCAACGCAACGACGCGCCTGCAGGTAGGTCTGCGCAAATATTTCATTGATATTCAAACGAAGTTTTTAAAAGGGCCCATGTTAGCTACCTGATCATCATTGTTTCTCTTAAGGAGTTGTTTTTCTCGAAATTTTTGTGTATTTAGAACAGTTTTATTGCGTTCGACATGTTGCATTGAACATCATTATTTCATTTTGATAATTGTGGTACTACAATATTCTACGTGCGTAGGTATAGTATACTATATTATTAACTTATTGTATTCTATGAATATTTGACGTGACCTAGTATCCTCCGGAATTTTATTACACGATTGACAAAATTAAAAATAGTAGGTAGGTAAGTACCTGTAAGAATCTCAAGAAAGAAAAATCGGATGATTTTTGCTAGATAATGTTTTCTTATCACGATGATAAAAAAAGAGGTACGTCCTTTGAAGTCAATGATAATGTCAATTGGGTGCCCGTAGTAACTATTTTTAACTTGAGAGTAACGATTTTTTTGCAATAACGTAGAAGAAACCGCTTCGATATCAAGCAAGGAACATTGTTTACAATGTTTACGCAAAGTTAGCGACGAATTAGGTGCATCTAAGTCACAATCCACAATTTGTAAGCGGGTCTCAAATCTTACACATTAGTAGGAGTGAATAGTCTTGATCAGAATACTGGAATTAATGCTTCCGTATTAATTAAGCAGAACAATAGCACTAAAAGAGATTTATTATAAACACTATACTTACTATCCGATTCATTTGAAAAACCAGAGATAAAAGTGGAATGGGTAGAATTGACTTCTTCAGAATAAAATAAATTATATGTAGCAGTAGAGCTCCTTATGAAAGAGTTCGTCCAAAGAAGTAGGTAGGTACCTTATCTATTTCTGTAGCCAAGGAATAATATGAGCATTACCGTGTTTAGATTTTGAAGGGTAACAGTGCTCGTGAAATTACAGGCAGAAGGTATTATAAATAAATATATTATATTACAAACATATACATATATATAAATATATTATTTTATAAATATATACAAATATATTATAAATATATTTAAAAAATATAGATTACTGTATGTGTTTGATTAAAAATTGTTTATATTAGATACTATGACATAAATAGTATAACCACACTCCGCATTAAAAAACAACGAAATTGACACAAAGAAGATAATTTATTTGTCTTGGAATTGACTTAATAAATACTTAGAATTAACTACATTTATTAATATAAAATTAAAATTTGTCGAAACTTTAAAAAATATTTGGTAACAAAAACTACGATAAAAACATAGGTAACTTAGAAATAATCTGGCACTCTTAATGACGTCATAAGTTTAAAGTGCGTTTGACATCGTCATCGTCTTAAGAAAAAGTTTCATAAAGCTTATTTGACGGTTCTGTAAAATCGACAACAAAAACAGAAGCCTTGGGTGCCTTGAAATTAAATGCTTATAGTAGCTGCCGCCGCGCCACAACTGATTTTCATACAATATTTAGAAGCGCAATTGCAGCGCCATTGTCGTGACACGCGCGCGTCACTATTGCAGTGACAATTAGTGAATTAAAAATAAAAAAGACAAAGGACATTACTATTATTTATTTTCTATTTGAATTGTAATAAGGTATAAATTACAATGCCTCGAGACCAACCTGCCAACCAACGGAGCATCGCGGTGCATCTCTTTCTGCGTCTCAGAGCATTGAAATTTATAAATTATTAAAATTGTAATAGCATAAAATATAAATTTAATGCCATCTGCCTCCGCGTCCGCCGGTTCACGCTGGCCCTTAGTGTAGTAAAAATTACTGAAGCGCTACAGAGGCGCTACTGCCGCGTCACAATCGCACCCCGCAGTGCTTCTACAAGCGTCTAATTTAAAGGCGCCCTCAGAGTACCACTAGATTAATGGCGGCACTAAATTTATTCATTTTGTCCTTTTAGTCATACAGAATTCTTTTCCGCTTCTCTATCTCTTAACTTTAAAACTAGAAACTTTAGCACCAAATGAGCAACAATTTAAATTTTAATTGGTAAAGTCAAAGAAAAATCGAAATATAATTATGCCAATCAAGTGTAATTCTGCCGCCGTTAGTTTAAAGCACGTTTGTGGCAAAAACTCAAAACTGAGAAAATAATATTTAAAGAAATGAAATAAAAAAATATCTACTTTTCTCTTGCGGTAACTTCATAACTTATCCACATAGGAAAAAATAAATGGTGACAGATCGGCCTTTTTTACTGATCACGGCAACAACATAACAAACTTTTTGAAAAAATATCACATGAGCCCTTTCAACTAACGGCGGCAGAATTATGGTATTGAATAACAAATAGCACATTTGGTAACCTCACCTAGACACAGCTAAACATAATCAATTTTTCCAGAGCACACCAGTCAATTGTACAACCAACAACATAGAATGGTGACCGACTATCACATAACCAAGGAATCAAGTTTCTCTACTGTTACTTGTATAATATGGTACAAAATAACCGGCACGCTCAGCTTGGCATTTAGGACCGTTCTTACCATAAGTTAAATTTAAACCTAGCGTTAATAATTGTTTTTTATTTAAACCTTAAATGCAAAACTAAGCGTGCTGTACACTAATCTAGTTCTCTCGCATTCCTTAAATGTTTTAAAAACTTTTTCCAAGTCCAACTAAAGAAATGAACGAGTAAGTAATTTAAAAAATAATATTTTTATTTTGTTTTCATCGAGTACTAAGAAAAAAAATATTAACACTCCAACATACGTTTTGGATTTACTTATATTTCTTGTTATTCTCTTGTACTAGTTGTACTTATTGACTGTATTATTCTAAAACAAAATAACTTTTTTGCAATTTTTATAAATAGAGTGCATTTTTGGATCATGTTTTACATTTAAAGATTTGTATTTTTTTATTGAGGTATACTTCGTTTGTTTTTCGTCTTAAGATAGAGTTTAATTTCTAAAACATACAAAATATAATATTTCCAACATTTTACCCGTATTTAACGTCATTTATTAATTCATCATCTTATTCATAAACACGCCCTGTTACGTAATTTATCGCCTTAAACACAAAAAACTAATATAGAAATTTGTAAACACAAATGTACAATCGCTAGATCACAACATTTAAAATGAACTTTGTCTTTTAATATAATGGAAGTCTTACAAATGTTACTCGTCTACAGTGACTTTAATCCTAAAGTTAACTTTATCGTGATAATATTATTTATATTATAAATGGATATATTAAGAGATCTGCATAAGCAAAATATATTTACTTGACCTCGCAATATTACATACTACCTCCTCTAGAAGTTTCGGTAAACATATTCTGTATATTTCAATCTCTGCTTAAAAGGTAATGTTAATGGTTAAGGTGCAGACGACGATGCACGTGCCGATGAAGAAAATGTGCTCATTCAACTCCAAAACAAAATATCTACGTACGGTTTACTGAAAGCCACACAAGAACCCGTGTTACATGGAAAAAATTACAATGAAAAAGCGTGTTCATTGTCTGTATCGGTGGGTAGTTTCCTGTATTTAAATATATTGTATATATTAACTAACTATGATAACTGCCTCCGTAGCCGATGTGGTGGCTGTCTGTGTGTGTCCATGGCACCCGCGACACAGGGTTTCCCTAGTGCGGGGCTATGTTGTGTGTGTGCGTTATTTATTTGTTTCGTTACCTATGTGTGTGTTCGTATGGACACACACATGTGTATATGTGTATGTAATTCATTGCAGGCAATAATAGTACTAC